TGGAGTTATTACCCTTGGTTTCATTAATGCGATGCATGCGTTCCATGATGTTGTATTGCACTCATTGATCTACCAGTTATGTTGAATGATTTCTCTTTTAATATCAATTACTCACAAATACTTCATATATTTCAATCATACAAACAACTGCTCATTCAATGTGTGACGGGCGTATTATATACCGCTCGCGGTAACCTTGTTTCTGTTATCATTGTTTCTGTATGTCCTTGTTTCTGTTATCATTGAGGGTATTTAATACTTACAGTTCTCTTTGTCCAGCAAATAAAGAACATTAGTTGTAAAATCCCATTCAAATTTTCATCATTTATGCAATTATTTTGTTTGTAATTCTTGATATCAATATCAAATCTTTCTCTGAAAGTATAAGTGCTACACCAACCAAACTTGGACCATACATGCATCTTAGGTAGTCTCAACCCTTGTATCAAATGGTGGATGCAGCATACCTTTCATCATGGTCCATTGACTCTTCAGCATCTCCATCAACATTAAGTTTTTGTGTTTAACTTAGTTTCTCTGTATTGATGGTCAAAGCGGGGCATAGGTGAGACATATCAATCCGAATGGCTTGTTATTTATGAATTAAATTGTTAAAACAAAAGATATAAAACACTAATGTTTAGTCCTTGATATCTTTTTAAGGCTTGTGAAAGGTTTCCGGGATGGAAATAATTGTGTGGAGTTCCTGTTTTCCCTGCCGAGGTTCTGTAGGGGAGAGGTTTGTATTTCCTGATTGTATTAGGCAACCCCTCCTTCCCCCTAATTCCCTGATTTTATTTACATGTTCTCTCCACAATTATACACATTGTATTATGAAAACCCCTTCTTGGTAGCTACTAAATATCCCGATAATTACATTTTAATTATGGTATGCTCCCTAACATGTCCAGAGTATGAGTATTTCAAGTCCATTTGAAGCCCAAGAGTACAATGTAAATCTAGGCCAGTACTTCACTTTGATTGGAGTGTGGCAGAACACATCTCAGTTATGTAAAATCGGAGTTAATTTTTCAGTGGTTTTAAGTCGCATTATGATAACATAACTATATCATTACAACAACTTGTGTTATCTTTTTCATGGTTGATACTTTTTTTAAAATTTAGGCATAACAATTATCTAGACTGGTGAAAGTTAAATGATCATGGATATCATGTATTTTGTATTCCAGTCAGTTTAGCTATGGTGAAAGGGGCGGCAGTGGCCAAGATATTAAGGCATCTGACTGTCTATGATCACTAGCCCTCCGACCTGGGTTTTTTCCGGACACTCAGGTTTTCTTCAACCATCAAAACCTGTCTTGTCCTTAAATTACCATAGCTGTTAATAGGACATAAAGCACAAACAAACTAACCAAACCAAACCAAATTTGCCACAGTGTTCGGGTCGGATAGAATTGTTAAAATAAAATCCTGAAAATCTGTTTGTAACCGATTCTTGGAAATAACTGAATAACACAGGTGGAGTATAGAATGGTTCGGGGATGTTGCAGTATATGTGCTGTAGCATTCAAGTGAGGTGGCACTATAAATGATGCCGTTGGAAGCACGGTCCCACTACAAGCAGAACACAATACACCTCCAGCACACACACACAGGCATACACACAAAGGGAGATATTAGCCAGGTGGCATAGGACTAGTAGTTAGCGCCTGATAAGGCAGCTCCTGCGAATTCCTCAAAATTGTATTAATTGTATATCTATGCACTGTAAAGTGCTTTAGAGTGGCTTATGTTAGCTAGATAGGGCGCTATATCAAATGTTGTATATTATCATTATCTGCTAGGTTGTTTTACAGTAACACTACTCGTTAGAATAACTGTTGTGATAAGTCATGGTATTTTGTTTTCTTAGTGTGACTTAGTATTAAGACCATTGTTTATAGTATATATGACACCTTGTGGCAGAGATCACGCATCGTAGTAAGAGAGCAGTAAGGTGTTGTAATTTTCTGTACCACAAGCAACTGAAGATATTGTATCTGTTTAAATAAATGAACTATTAAGATAAACTGGAAAAGATGTCTCTCGTAATTTTTCCATCCTTAAACTCTTCTTACAGGATGACAAGCTGACAACAGACAAGGTGTCGCGGGTCGGTCTTATCGAGGTGGAGTGCTACCGGGCAGTAAAGATGGGGTCATTTGTGACGAGGAGAAAGAAGGATCTACTGTTTGACCAGGCAAACAAGAAGGACTGTCTTGGTGTCACGCAAGGTATACAACAGTAGTGGGTGGTGTAGCCACCAGGGATAAATCTATTGGTGCTGAACTGGATATATCGCCTCGTAACTTGACCAAAACTGTGTGATCCGTTAGCGACAACTAAAAGGTTGAATGTTGCATAATTTCAGTCATGGTAAATCTGCTGACACCAACTTTTGGTGACGTCACACAATGGTGTCAAGTTTGTGGAAAATTTGCATAGCTTCGCCCACATGTATTGTTGTTGACTTCATGGAAACTAATCGTAAAGTTTATGAGATGATAAATCCAGTTTGTGTAAACAGTGGTGATTGTCAATGAACACTGCAAATATAGAATAATACGTTTGTATGTAGTGTGGTATTTGTATGTGATACTTTTGTATGTAGTGTTATACATGTACTTTTATTTGTAGTATGGTATTTGTATGTAGGGGTACTTTTGTATGTAGGGGGTACTTTTGTATGTAGGGTGATACTTTTGTATGTAGGGTGATACTTTTGTATGTAGGGGTACTTTTGTATGTAGGGTGATACTTTTGTATGTAGGGTGATACTTTTGTATGTAGGGGGTACTTTTGTATGCAGTGTAGTACTTTGTATTTAGTGTTACTTTTGTATGTAGGGTGATACTTTGTATTTAGTGTGATACTTTGTATTTAGTGTGGTATTCTGTTTTTAGTGTGTTACTTTTGTATGTATTTTGTTTTTGTAAAGTTATATTTTCAGTCAGGTTGTCACTTTCTATATCTCTTATGATGAGATTAAAGTCCTCTGTTTGCTCTTACCCCAGGGCAATACCTGATGGCGACCACCAAGGCAGGGAAGGTCTTAAAGAAGCGGTCAACAAACAAGATGACGGACCACTGGGATGTGGGCAGCATGCGGAGTCGACAAAGTGTGAAGTATGTGACCTCACAGACACTTGTTGATCTTGGAGTTTCTGTCCTCCCCATCCCCTTCCCCACAAAGTCCAGGCCAGTCTTATGCAGCAGCACAGAAACCATCACTAAACAGGAAGCTACTACTATAGACATAAAGCAGGAAATAATTCAGGGTTCTTCAGTCCAGCATTCAGGCATCAAATTTCTTGTATGAATGAATAGATACGAAACTGCATTTGAAACACTTTTTTTTTCACCAAATCAATTTTCTGTTTTGTCATTTGACACAACGACTTTTTGACATTAAATTTTCAGTTAACGTTTCACTATATATGTCATCAGGCATTGTTTGATGGAAACGTCCTTTTGATGTTCATTTGCCCTGAAGCTTTGTTTACCTTCATCATCCATCACGCTTTGTTTACCTTCATCATCCATCACGCTTTGTTTACCTTCATCATCCATCAAGCTTTGTTTACCATCATCATCCATCACGCTTTGTTTGATGGAAACTTTCATTTGACATCATATTTTGCGTTATTTAAACCTTCATTTATTATCAAGCTGTTTTTGAAAAACAAAACAAAATCTAGTCTGTATCTTTTTTTTTCATTATTGTTTTTAATGTGTTCGTATAGAATTGTTCCAAGTTGTAGTTAACCCTGTGCTGATATGTGTTGTTAAGTATGTTTTGTTGGTAAGTGTGGTTAGATGTGTGCTGATGATCATGACTGTAAGGAAACAGATGATGTTTGTTTGTAGAGGAAATGTTGTGACACAGACATGTCAGGACACTGTTTATATCTCTAATTACATTGTATATTACGTGAAAGTGTTCACAGTGCTCAGAATTGTAAAGTTTTGTATAAAATTATTTTTTTGCTTAATGTTTACACCATCAAAAGTAATTTGGTCATATTCTCTGCATGTTTATAAAGTTCAATAAATATTTAATTAAAACAAAACATCTTGTCCTTCAGTTGTTTATTGACCTTGAAGCACAAGTCCTGAAAAGGGCATATACCACAAATATATCCTTGTTTATAACCGTTTTAATCAAATATCTTTACAAATGCTCTTGACAAGTACTGTGATTGTACAGTCAAACTTCAATGTTTCAAACTTTGCGGGACTATCGGGGAAAAAATTGAAACATAGAGACTTCTTCAACTCCTGAATATTGAATTTCGAAAATCTTTGACATCCTGTATATAATGCATAATATCGAATGTGATTATTAAGTGACAGAACACAAGGCAAGAAATCTAATTTGAATCTGTATATATTGGATTTATAGTAATAAAAAAATAGTTTTACATATATTTAAACACTGTAGTTTGCATGTTTAGGTGTTAAAATGGCCGCATGACATTTCATTGTTATCGTACAGGTAATTGTTTTATTTCCCTTTATTAGTTATTTTTAATGCTTTCATAACAATTGGACCTTTAGTATGATTCAAAATAGCAAGAAATTTGATTCATTTTTAAATGGAATATCAGTGCTGTTACATAGGAAAAAGTCTGGGCCCGTGGTCATGACATCGTTCTCAAGCTCCAGCATGAAATCTGTGCTCAAACCAACTTTCTTGCAACTTCGCTTAAATCATGTGACACTGCCAAAAGATCAAGTGTAAATATTGAAAACAGTATTTGGCGTTAAGTCTGTCCAAAATTTTTACAAATCAATGAGAAAATGCATTTTTTTTTTACTAATTCATCACTGGAGTAGGGTATTGGGCTTGAGCACAGAACCTGAGCATGAGAACAGTTTCATGAATACGGGCTCCAGACTTTCACGTAACTTGTCAAAGTTATGGAAGTTTAACAGTCACCTGATTATGTACTTGGAGCATGGTTTGAAAAATTCACAACATCTATAAAAACATCGTATATACCTGTAAGTAATGACAGAATTATGCTACAGACAAGCAGTGTCCTTTGATCTCAATTTGTAGTGTTGACATTGGAGCCTTTGTCTGGATAGATGTTGTTCCGAATACACCGAGGTCATATTTTGCATATTATAGAAGTCCATTAGTATGAGGGAAAATGCTGCCTTACTGGGAAGTTAGCTTTTCCAATAAAGCATTATAACCCTGGGATGCGCTCACTAGTTCAGCAATGATGAGTCTGGTCTGTGGCTGGATGGGTGCCCGTCTGCATGCCTTACTGGCATTAGCTAGCTTTTTGATTCCAGTGATTCGGTATAACTCTGGGATGTGCTCAGTAACATTAAGTGTTGTTAGTGCCTACATGTTACAATTTAACTCATATAATATGACCTATTGTTATCAAATTCCAGACAAACTGAACGGTGTGTGATAGACAATCATCACAATGATAAATATAGAGTGGTGTCCTAACTAAACCATAGGTTCAAACTGGGATCACTGTTTTAGGTAAGTTTATTTCGTAGGAAGGTGAATGTAAACAATGTTTATGAAGTTTTGTACTATAACAATAGACCCTGTAATTCATTATAAGGAATGATGACAATTTCCATTTTCTTCACCTCTTTTTTTCTGCCAGAAATACGTTAACCACACACTTAACAGAACCAAACAAAAACTGGAACCTTCACACAGGATTAGCCTTACTACTACATGTAGATGATGTAAGTACAAAGCAGAGTATTGCAAGGCAATCCATAGTCCCTCACCAGTAATGATTTCTATATTTAACAAACAGTACACTTATATGTGGAAGCATAGGTCACAGTGAGGATATAGTCACCTTCTTCATCCCAAGATGTCATTGTACACCAAATCTGGTTACTCCAGTTGAAATATCATAGAAAAAATGCCTTGGACAAACTTTTTTCAAAAGTAAAGGTCAAAGGTCAAGTCACAGGTCACAGTGAACTAATTTTTGCACTCTGCATTTCGCCATCCCAAGATGTCCTTGTACATAAAATCTGGTTACTCCAGTTGAAATAGTATAGAAGATGAGCCCCGGACAAAGTTTTTAATAAGTTAAGGTCAAAGGTCAAAGCATAGGTCACAGTGAGGTCATAGTGACCTTCTTCTTCCACTCTGCACTTCGTCATCCAAAGATGTCATTGTACACCAAATCTGGCTACTCCAGGTGAAGACATGTCCCAAATAAAAAGGAAAGACGGATAGAATGCACCCGGAAACCGGAGGGGGACTAAAAAGTAAGAATAACAATAGTTTTTGCAGGTATATTTTTTATTGATAAAAACCTTGAGTCTCCCATATACCTGTTAGTAAACTGCCAGATAACAAAGTACATGATGAACATAGTCAAGGAAAAAACTCTAATATTTATATTTGTTAATTGCACATCAATGCTATGATACACAAACATGTAAATGGTGAGTGCCGATCTTGACAAACTGACCTAAATTGTTACTTAAAATGTCAAAATAAGCAATAATTAAGGTGGCTGAAATGAAAAAAACCTGTAAACTTGCCTTTTGACAGACCATAATACAAGTAACTGCTGTATGGAGTTACAGCACTGGTAACCCCATCTATACAACAAAGCTCCAGTGATGTCACGAGCTACAGCACTGGTTATCCCATTTATACAGCAAAGCCTAGTGATGTCACAAGTTTCAGCACTGGTAACCCCATCTATACAGCAAAGCTCCAGTGATGCCACAAGTTACAGCACTGGTAATCCCATCTATACAGCAAAGCTCCAGTGATGTCACGAGTTACAGCACTGGTTACCCCATCTATACAACAAAGCTCCAGTGATGTCACGAGTTACAGCACTGGTAATCCCATCTATACAGCAAAGCTCCAGTGATGTCACGAGCTACAGCACTGGTTATCCCATTTATACAGCAAAGCCTAGTGATGTCACAAGTTACAGCACTGGTAACCCCATCTATACAGCAAAGCTCCAGTGATGCCACAAGTTACAGCACTGGTAACCCCATCTATACAATAAAGCTCCAGTGATGTCATGAGTTACAGCACTGGTTACCCTATCTATACAGCAAAGCTCCAGTGATGTCACAAGTTACAGCACTGGTTATCCCATCTATACAACAAAGCTCCAGTGATGCCACAAGTTACAGCACTGGTAACCCCATCTATACAACAAAGCTCCAGTGGTGTCACAAGTTACAGCACTGGTAACCCCATCTAAACAACAAAGCTCCAGTGATGTCACAAGTTACAGCACTTGTAATCCCATCTATACAGCAAAGCTCCAGTGATGTCACAAGTTACAGCACTGGTAACCCCATCTATACAGCAAAGCTCCAGTGATGTCACAAGTTACAGAAAACAACACACAGCCCTATGGGAAAGGGGAGACACTGGTGTCATCACTGTGCCTTAGACTTAGCTGGATCGCCAAGTGTGGCATCCCAGATTTTCATTTTCTCTGCTCCAGCAGTGTTCTTTGTTTTAGCCCACTTGTCAGCGGATTGATCTCCATGGGGAACACCAAACATAGCTTCACCAAGGTCCGAGCTCAGCTCTGCCAGTATCTTGGGGTCTTTGTAGTGCGTCACAGCTTGAGCCATGGCGAGTGCCCGTTTTGTGGGATTCGAACTTTTGAAGATTCCTGACCCTACAAACACACCATCCACGCCTAGCTGCATCAGCAGGGAAACATCAGCAGGAGTTGCTACAACAGAAAACAGATACAAGACATGAGGAAAATGTACATGGAAAACAATCCAATCAGTTTACTCTAAATGAAAAAAAGTACATAGAAACGATGTCCAAGAATTGAAGTTATGTGAAATATCTGCAGACTGGTAGGTTTTGTCAACATTTCATTTTTAATATTTTCAAGAAAATTGGAAAGGAAATAAGATGTGAGAAAGTTTACCTCATATGTTAATGTTGTAGTATTACAACACTTTACTCTCCCAGTATCATCTACATATACTGATGTTTACAGTCAACTGTTGACTGATATTTATTCAGATCAAAAAGGCAATGCAACTAATATGCAATAGGTCATACAGTCAGACTTTGACATTTAGCTAAGTGGGAATTGGGGAAAAACATCCTTCTTTTCATTTTTCGGAAGTAAATCTGAAGTAAATGTGATAAATGTAAAAGACCACTGTTCCAGTGATATCAGATAATAGGGTTTGACTGTATGATACCAGTCTGGTTTACAGGGATATACCAGGGACACTCCAGTGAGGTTCAAGCTCCTCCGAAACAATATTCTACAGTATTAAATACTAGTATCTACTTGTGAAGAAGATTCTACAGTGTATAGAGATTGTACGTGGGGTGGGGGGGGGGTGGTTGTGGTGAGATACCAGGTTCTACCATCTGTGACTAAACCAAACTTATACCTAGGCCCCCTGCAGCGAAATTGACAACTGGAAGTCTCCCCAACTCTGTCGTCTTTTTGAGCAGCTCGTGTGGCACGCAGAGTTCTTTGGCGTAGTTGTAGAGTTCTGTGGAATCCAATGCACACGCAATCTTGATCTGTTTGTTGATTGTTCTGGCATGTTTAACAGCTTCAGAAACGTCACCTTCCAAAGATTAAAATGGCTGATATATCAAGATAAAACAAGAATTGATGGGGCTAGTTTTAAAGGAAAAGTTGACATATGCCTCTTTTGGGCAGGTTCGCTAAAAACATTTTCCTGAAAAATAAACTGACAAATTTTAATTTTTCATATGTAATTACAGTCATGCATATTCCTATTACTTAATTGTTTCATTTTAGCATATAAGGGGTGAGGGCATGATGTCAATGAGTCTCCTGTTTACGGGTGAGGGAGTGATGTCAATGAGTCTCCTGTTTAGGGGTGAGGGAGTGATGTCAATGAGTCTCCTGTTTAGGGGTGAGAGCATGATATCACTAAGTCTCCTGTTTAGGGGTGAGGGAGTGATGTCAATGAGTCTCCTGTTTAGGGGTGAGGGAGTGATGTCAATGAGTCTCCTGTTTAGGGGTGAGGGCATGATGTCAATGAGTCTCCTGTTTAGGGGTGAGGGAGTGATGTCAATGAGTCTCCTGTTTAGGGGTGAGGGCATGATGTCAATGAGTCTCCTGTTTAGGGGCGAGGGAGTGATGTCAATGAGTCTCCTGTTTAGGGGTGAGAGCATGATGTCAATAAGTCTCCTGTTAAGGGGTGAGGGCATGATGTCAATGATTCTCCTGTTAAGGGGTGATAGCATGATGTCAATGAGTCTCCTGTTTAGGGGTGAGAGCATGATGTCAATGAGTCTCCTGTTTAGGGGTGAGGGCATGATGTCAATGAGTCTCCTGTTTAGTAGTGAAAGCATGATGTCAATAAGTCTCCTGTTTAGTAGTGAAAGCATGATGTCAATGAGTCTACTGTTAAGGGGTGAGAGCATGATGTCAATGAGTCTCCTGTTTAGGGGGGAGAGCATGATGTCAATGAGTCTCCTGTTTAGGGGTGAGGGCATGATGTCAATAAGTCTCCTGTTTAGTAGTGAAAGCATGATGTCAATAAGTCTCCTGTAAAGGGGTGAGGGAGTGATGTTAATAAGTCTCCTGTTTAGGGGTGAGAGCATGATGTCAATGATTCTCCTGTTTCGGGGCGAGGGAGTGATGTCAATGAGTCTCCTGTTTAGGGATGAGAGCATGATGTCAATGATTCTCCTGTTAAGGGGTGAGAGCATGATATCAATAAGTCTCCTGTTTAGGGGTGAGGGAGTGATGTCAATGAGACTCCTGTTTAGGGGTGATAGCATGATGTCAATGAGTCTCCTGTTAAAGGTTGAGGGAGTGATGTCAATGAGTCTCCTGTTTAGTAGTGAAAGCATGATGTCAATGAGTCTCCTGTTAAAGGTTGAGGGCATGATGTCAATGAGTCTCCTGTTAAGGTGTGAGGGCATGAAATCAATGAGTCTCCTGTTTAGGGGTGAGAGCATTATGTCAATGCATCTCCTGTTAAGGGGTGAGGGAGTGATGTCAATGAGTCTCCTGTTTAGGGGTGAGGGAGTGATGTCAATGAGTCTCGTGTTTAGGGGTGAGAGAATGATGTCAATGAGTCTCCTGTTTAGTAGTGAAAGCATGATGTCAATAAGTCTCCTGTTAAGGGGTGAGGGAGTGATGTCAATGAGTCTCCTGTTTAGGGGTGAGGGCATGCTGTCAATAAGTCTCCTGTAAAGGGGTGAGGGCATGATGTCAATAAGTCTCCTGTTAAGGGGTGAGGGAGTGATGTCAATGAGTCTCCTGTTTAGGGGTGAGGGCATGATGTCAATAAGTCTCATGTTAAGGGGTGAGGGCATGATGTCAATGAGTCTCCTATTTAGGGGTGAGGGCATGATGTCAATAAGTCTCCTGTTAAGGGGTGTGGACATGATGTCAATGAGTCTCCTGTTTAGGGGTGAGGGCATAATGTCAATGAGTCTCCTGTTTAGGGGTGAGAGCATGATGTCAATAAGTCTCCTGTTAAGGGGTGAGAGCATGATGTCAATGAGTCTCCTGTTTAGGGGTGAGTGAGTGATGTCAATGAGTCTACTGTTAAGGGGTGAGGGCATGATGTCAATAAGTCTCCTGTTAAGGGGTGAGGGCATGATGTCAATGAGTCTCGTGTTTAGGGGTGAGAGCATGATGTCAATGAGTCTCCTGTTAAGGGGTGAGGGAGTGATGTCAATGAGTCTCCTGTTTAGGGGCAAGGGATTAAGGTTCATGGGTTTATAAGGTTGAGGGTGTGAGGCCAATATTAATGTCACCTTTTCAACTCTATAAAACATATACCATAATACGTAATGGTTCTAAGTAAAGATCTACATACAAAATAGAATTTATCTGATTCTATTGCTATGAATGTCCCTGCAATTATCCTCTTATCTGAACATGTCTTTTTTTTGTCACCACCATTACAGTGTACTGTTGCAGAATAGTATAATTAATCTTTAATTTAAGATTCATACCAGTGCCGGCTTCTCCTTTTGTCCGGATCATGGCGGCACCCTCAGAGATTCTGCGCAACGCTTCACCCAGGTCACGCGCTCCACACACAAATGGGACCTCAAACTGATGTTTATCAATGTGATTAACCTCATCAGCTGGCGTTAAAACTGCAACAATACAAGTACTAGTTTAGTTTTACCATTACACAGATAAAAGTGCGAAAATGAAGTAAAGTTTTAACAACCTGCAGCATTGCACATGTAGGCTAGTTAATGTCGGGAGTCCTGGGCCCGTATTCATGAAACCGTTCTCATGCTCATGCCTGGATTTTGTGATAAAGTCTAATTTCTTGTTCCAGTTATAAATTATTTAAAAAATCTCATTTTGTTAAAGTTTTGGACAAAAATTGAATAAACTAAAAGCCGAATACTGTTTTCAATATTTAAATTTGACATTTTGATGGTTGACATGATTTAGGTGGGTTACAAGAAAGCTGGCTTGAGCACAGAATTCATGCTTGAGCATGAGAACGGTTTCATGAATACGGGCCCTGGTGTTTTATGTTGTATTTCCTATTTATTTGGTATTTTCATGACTTGGAGCAAAGAGTTCTTTAAGTAAGAAATATCTTTCTTGAAATTTTATTTTTCATAAAAAAATCCCTATACCATTGAGTTTGATCCACAGGCCTTTTGATGATAAATCAGGGAGCTTATCCACTGTGCTACATTCAGGGTACTTGTTTATGTGATATATGTTAATACTTTCATACATCATTACTGAGTATGATTTCAAACTGTTTGAAGTCCCTAAAAGACCAGTAAAACTTTAATTATCTTTGTTTTAGTAAAGAAGAAATACAGGGTAACATAAATTTAACAGGATAAATGCTTGTACATATATGTTAGTTTCGTTCTTTGCGATGTACATATTTGAAGTCCAGAACTACTAATGTCTGAGCTTCCTTACTCCAACTTATTGTAAGTATATGTATGTGTACTGTATTGTGTTTAGGTAGGACTAATGTTGAAGACAAACTACCAGTCATTTACCTTCTGATTCGTCCACCATGTCCACTCCGAGGGCTTGCAGAATCTGAGCCTCTGCAAAATGGCCGATCCTTGATTTAGCCATCACAGGAATGGTCACCGCGGCTATTATTCCCTTTATTTTCTTTGGATCTGTCATTCTAGCTACGCCCCCCTCTCTTCGAATATCAGCCGGCACACGTTCAAGTGCCATGACTGCGCATGCCTGAAATCATATTGTTGAATACAATGTATTGAGATATTTTCAACATACTCCAAGTCCAAATATTTCTGGGGGGGTTTTAAATTAAAAAAAACATGTGACTGCCACAAAAATAAGACATTCAGATTGAAGTTCTTGTACTTACTCCAGCCTCCTCAGCTATTCGGGCCTCCTCTGCAGTTGTCACGTCCATAATGATGCCTCCTTTTGCCATTTGAGCCAGGCCAGCCTTCACCTTGAATGTCCCTGGAAACAAAAGTTTATTACATCGCTAGTAAACCTTATTGTAACGATACAGCCATTTATCAGTTAATTTTGACTCATCACAAGTTGAAATATTTAGCGCCATTTAACTTTATGGAGTAGTGTGGAAGCATTACTCTATCATCCGTATCCTTTTGTCTACAATTGCTGTTCGGTTCCCTACACCCCCCGCATCATACCCCTACACCCCCCGATCCATACCCCTACACCTCCCACTCCATACCCCTACACCCCCCACTCCATACCCCTACACCCCCCACTCCATACCCCTACACCGCCCGCATCATACCCCTACACCGCCCACATCATACCCCTACACTCCCCGCATCATACCCCTACACCTTCCGCATCATACCCCTACACCCCCCACTCCATACCCCTACACCCCCCACTCCATACCCCTACACCGCCCGCATCATACCCCTACACCGCCCACATCATACCCCTACACCGCCCACTCCATACCCCTACACCCCCCAC